TAAAAGACGGCATCCTTTTTACGGACGGCTTTCCACATTTCTTTCATAACGCTTTCAAATATCAGCAACTTATGAAGTTTTCAAGTGTTTCAAACCACTTCTCTCAGTTGGCTCCAGAGAACAATATTACTTTCATTTCACAAGTGCTGGATTAGAACAACTCGAATGAAAATGTACAATATACATTTTGTTCTGAAAATTAAAAAATTGGACAACTTTTAAATTTTTTGCCAATTTTGAAGCTTCAATTAAAATATGTTTACGATAAAATTTAGATAAGCTAGATCTCCGTAAAAGCAGTACAGATATGATTCATATCTTCTTTATTTTATTTCAGTAAGAAAAAAAATAAACGAAACTTAGAAACATTTTTATGCCTAAATAAATATTTTTTTACGATAAACATCGAATGATAATAACGTTCTTAAATATTTATTCAATTGTAGGGCCTCCGTGATACTTCAATTCTTCGAAAAATCTTTATATTTAACATTTGAGTTCAGTACAAGCGGAAAAGAAATTCGCCCTGGACGGTTATCTCACATCTTTGAACCGGTCAAATGCTATAAAGGAGCGATCCTCTTTATCACGATGGTCTTTTATGATCAACTTTCCTTGGCAAAATAAAATTATCTCCCATCTGAACTCTTGAAGAATTTTAGAATTTCTTAATAAGTTTTGGGTTAAAAATGGAAACCGTTAAAAAGTGTATTTCCAATTAAAACATTTCTAAATCAATCACCTTCTTGCGCAACTACCTTTGATCAAAATTGTAATTGTAATAATAAAAAACAGTCCTAGATTAATTTATATAACTGCCAAACATAGATCATTTTATTACATACTTATATTTTGTTTTTCCTCAGAATTTCCTCGTATATTTAATATTCCCATGCTAACTGACCTTATCTGAGATATCGGCCATTTTGGAGCCAGTCTCTTTTCTGAAATTTCACTTAAATATCACTTGTAAACAGTAGATAAATAACAGAATAAAATAATAATTAACTTCACTAATTTTCGTGGTCAGCTTGATCAATTAATATCTTTTAATTAATTAAGGTTTTTAGTCCGCTTAACCAATTAACCTTGACCTCCAAAAGGTGGGGTTGAGATGGGAAGTTGGTGTTCGAGTGGATCGAAGTCACGGTAGCTCAAGTGGTAGAGCAGGGGCGTATCTAGCCGAAGATCGTAGGTTCGAATCCCACTCGTGACACTGACTTTTTTATCTCAACTAAAAACCTTAATTACTTGAAAGATAATAATTAACAGATAAATCACACATAATTTCCCCAAATATAGAAATCTGGTCGCATTCTCACCCTGAGCAATACACGATAGTCTTCCACTTCATTCTCGCTAATAAATTACTTTTACTTTCCAGTCACACAATCATGCCAGAGTACTCGATATTCTTTGGAGCATTAAAATTACCACCAGAATTAAAATATACACAACCGAGATGTTACAATAACGAGTAAAAAACAAGTAAAAATAAATGTATTACGATCTTAGCGTGAATCCCCTTCACACGAAGCAAACTCGTTTCCTTTCGAGTGTAAAATAAAAATGAAAATAAATATTTGTGCCACAAACTCAAACAAATTAATCGGAAAATACAAAAATCGGGACCTGATCCAAATAAATTATAACAAAACCTTCAAAAAAATAAATATTCAGATTTGAAAAAATTAAAAATAAAAATATGTGATCTATGACATACGGAACTAACTCTGCCATTTACATAAAAAGAGCAGGTGCCTTCAAACAAATTGAGAGAGAGTACTCCCTCGTCTTTTGGTGGCTCAGCTCGCACTGCCCGAGCCTGCGGTTGGATATTAGCTTATCCTTTGAGATTAGCTATTCATTTCTGAAAATATTGTTATAAATGATAGTACAAGAACATCACTGCATTCAAATGTATACGTTGCAGTCCTTGGCAAATTCGTGTATCCAAACACTTCAGTGCTGCACGAAGGAAGTAAGGAACTCTTATTAAAAGATTTCTCGATGTCTGGACAAGCACATATTGATCTCCGCTTTCTTTGGGTTTCGTTTTTTTCACCTCATCATAACAAATGCTCAGGATTCTCCAGTACTTCATGTACTTCACAATAAGGCCAACTCTCAGTCCGGTGTTATACAAATATGATCCACAGATACTATGCCCGGCTCTTAAGCTTGAGATCGTTGATAAAAATGCTTGTGTCCATCCTTCATCCACCCACGGAGTTGTAGCCCACTAATGTGGAACTACAACGACGACGGGTGGTACAATGTGGTTAAGGCTCGGGGCCCGAGAACGGTGTACCTCGTGTCCTCATTCACGTCCATTTCTCATTCCAGGTTCCTTCATTCTTCCCTGCGACTCCTCCCAACCATTGGTTACAAAGGAGGTGTCCGGGCAAAACAATGGTGTAGCCCTGAGGGCGTGGCAACCTCTCTAAATCTCAAGCTGTACTCGTGTCGGCCTCGAGTCGGCATGGGGCGGCGGGTGCTTTATCAGAGGCACACGTGGGTTAGGGTACCAGATCCTGTTTGCATAGTCAGGGGAGGGTAAATAACTATCTGTACTATGGGGTAACAGAAATGTTCCAAGGTTCAGACCCTGTTACCCTGGGAATGGCTCTGTAGGTGGTCGTGGTGAGACCAAGAGGCAGTCTTCTATCGGCCTTCGCACGAAACTTGCGTATGACCAACGTTATACACGTGGCCTCACGGGATACGGCGGATAGAACGGCAGCGTATAAGCGTTGAGGACGCTATGATTGTGCGGAATAGTCCCTCGAATGCGTGAGTAGTGGCGGATGGGAACGGGTTGTGAATCGGTTACTCATATTCGAGTATGCTTTCCACGCAAGTGTAGGCTGAGCTTGATTGGTGGCTTTTATCGTAGGCGGTCTCCTCTGGGGGTGGTTACTTTAAACAAAACCGCGGCCGGAGCGGATCCGGTAGTTTGTACGCTAAAGAAGCCCAATACTCTGGGAAATAGAGTGGCCTTCTCTATCTAGCGAGTGCGCGGGAGACCAGGCGTATTTCGGCTTAGGAAGACTTTTGCGCGCGGCATACGGTTCGATGCTTAATGCGGACCCGACCACTCGGAATGGGCATTGGGGAGCGAGGTTGTCTTCGCCCCTCGGGGCTGAGCTGCCTCTACACTAATGCTGCGGCAGTAACACCCTTCTTGAGACGTCCGATAAGGCCGAATAGGTTGTCATACGTTGCGTTAAAGATGCTCATTGTCCTTTTTAGGCCGACCGAGTATACGGGAAAGCAATGTCCATCCTTCAACTTCACGGTTTTTTGGATATCTGGGAAAGAGAGAACTGGCTGCTTCTTATATATCTGTCATTTTATGACGCCTCCCTTAAAAGTTGATGTTTTCTGTTTCCGAGAAGACACCTTTAATGGTTGTCTCCTAGACTACAACATCTACACTTTTATTATGTTTAATTCCCACGTGTCCCTTAATCCAGCATATCACTTTTTACCTAGTTCCATTAGTGAGTGTTAAAATGGTATTATCAACATTTTCTAAAATATAAACACATCTGCTATCATGATTAAAATTTGGAAATTAAATTCCTGTGGCTGTTTGTAAAAATGTTAGTTTTTTGATGGTTAATCAAATCATACTCGAACGCTTTCAGGATAGCAAAAAAGGAGGTCAAAAATGAGCTTCATAGAGTTGGAAGTCTATATTGCTGGTGTTATCAATGTTGAATGTCGTAAAAGCACATCCTGTAATAATATAATTTTTTTTCAAAGTTGTTTAATTACATTGCAATTTGGGGGCCGCGGTAGCCGAGTGGTTAGCGTGAGTTACTCTCGACTCGTAGACCCCGCGGACGTGGGTTCAATTCCCGCCGTCGCCTCTGGCCCTTTTTTCACGATACCTTCGCCCCAAAACGAATACGCATAACATATTGCTGGCATTGGCTAATATGAATAGTACATAAAGCCATAAAAAAAATTACATTGCAATCGTTTGAGCGATTTTCAAATCATACGATGTAAGTCTATTCAGAAACGCTGTGACACAAATTTATACATGATATTATTATGAAAATGGTAATATGACATCAATGCAATCAAGATGAAACGATATTAAGAACCAGTAGATATGCCTGTACTTTACATTACCTTAGCCAAAAACAATTTCAACTCAAAAACCTAAAGACTGAGAAAACTAAGTGAAATGCTAGACTATAAACTTTATAAGCGTGAAGCTTCATTTAAAGCTAGCAGAGAATAATTTTTACAGCAGATAATACGTTTATTATTATGATAACTCAAAAGGAATGATCCCTTGCCCACCGATTTGAAATATTGTAATCCTGCTAATAATAATCTTCTGAGCAGTGAGTTTTGGAAATATCTTTGGAATAACTGAACTCCCACTCTCTCCTGGTACACCCACTCGATCCGCAAAGCAGCCCCTGCAAAATTTGCAATACGCAAAACTTGGCCTTTCCTAATTACACATAAGATTGTCCTTATTAAATTCGAGCATGTCATCTTTCAAGCTGCCAGACTCGTGTTATGCTTTGGATGCCAATTACGTGGGAGGGTTAGATGTATGATTTGGTCGAGGGAGTTCAGAGATATTTCATAAAGAAGCTTTTCAAGCCGCCTAATCCAACCCCGAATTAAATTCTCGCTTTAGAAATCGGAGAAGATCTTATTTACCTTTGTACGTTAAAAGTTGATTTTTCTTTTTTTGACAAAATTTTTCTTGGATTTATAACGTTGTGGGAGGGTAAATTTATGACGTTGGGGATTAAAATGGTTATAAAAAATAAAACAAAATAATAAGTCTATAACCGTTAAACATAAAAGGTTCTTATATTAATAACAAATGATTGGATAGAATAAATCTTATAAATGGTTACAAAAAAATTTAGGAAAGATGAGAGAATATTTTCTTATGGTAGAAAAGTAATTAAGTATAAAGTTATTTTTCGGTATCCTGCCAAGATGTAAAGTATAGAGTAACGAACCTTGTTGAATGAGCACCAGCCGACAAGAATTCTTCAAAAGCAGTTTCTTTTATCTTTGATCACGTCACACACGTTTATTTTTACTTTTTTCTTTTTTTTTTCTAACGCTCAAAGCGACTGAACAGGAACCCCAAATCCAGCGTGGCTCCGCCTTAGGCCTCCGCCGTGCTTTCTTCTGCCTCCTCAATCGTTGGAACTCCCTGCCTTCTTGATTGTTCATGCCGCTTCGGCGGCCTTTATGAAATGGCTTGTCATAGATTCAAATTTAAACCGTCTTACATTAACGCACGGGAAATTGTCAAACAGAATGCATCTGTGAGATTTCATGTCCTAAGTATGAATTTAGTTAATAATTTTTTTAAATATTTTACACACTTCACAGAAATTCTTATTAAGCAAAAATCGGATTTTCTAAATTTGAGCAGTTCTAAACATTTTATGCCATACAATATATTAACCTTGACTCCACGATTGATTTTCCATCGAGATAATTTTGAAAGTCTCTCTCCACGGTTGTCTTTGCGCTGTGAGTTTTAGTGCTATATTACGTCGGCTGTATAGTTAGGAAGAGATAGGCTTCGCACTGTGCAACTCTGGAGATGTTGAAAACACATTACTCTGGAGCAGGCTGGGCGAAATTGGTCGACTCCATTTCGGCCTCTTCCTTATCTTAACGGAAACTTATTATTCTACAGGAAAAATGAAAAGGGTAGTTATAAGAAAAGAAGAAAAAGAAACTTATTTTTATTATGATTGATTCTCGGAAACTACTGAGGTTTTCAAGACACGTATGAAAATATACTATGAACTAGTTCAATACTGTAATGATTAATAATTGTATAAAATATATAAGCCAGTTTAACAAAAAAAACAGTTATTTTTAGAATGATTGTTATGTTTACGTTGCTACAAATTTCCGAACACGTGATTTTCATCCATTGAACCTGAAAAGTTATTTCATTTATAAAACCTATATTGCGAATAGCCTTTATGTATGATATTGGTTGAGATAAAAAAGTCAGTTTAATGAGCGGGATTCGAACCCACGAACTTCGGCTAAATACGACGCTCATCTACCACTTGCGCACGATAGCTCGTGACACTGATCTCAACCAATACTTTACATAAAGATTAATTTATTGAAAAAAGATAATTGGTCAATCGGACCACGAACTCTAATGGATTTAATAATAAAAAATGAAGGAAACATTCACTAAAGCTCTCCGGGACCATTTCATTTATCGCCGAGAATCAAATAGATTACACGACATTTGAAAGATGGCAAAAAAGGAGGTAAAATTCGAAAGGTGGTTGAGATGATAAGTTAGTGTCCGGTGGATCGAAGTCACGATAACTCAAGTAGTAGAGCAGCGGCGTATTTAGCCGAAGGTCATGGGTTCGAATCCTGACTTTTTTATCTCAACCAATACTTTTCATAAATATTAATTAATTGTGTATGATGTGAAAAAAAATGAGATTTGCATAATTGTTTGTATTAAATTGTGTAAATAATAGTACTGACATTATTAGTGGCATTTGGATCAATAATTTTTTAACAATTTTACAATTTTTGTAATTAAATATTTATATGGTATGCAATATGAAGGATATTTATTTTAGTTTTTTCTGTACCAAATCTTTTGCTCTATTTTTTTTTTTATATAATGAGCAATGCGAAAAACGTATACATAAATATCTTTCAATTAATTATGGTTTTTAATTGAGATAAAAAATTCCGTGTTACGAGCGGGATTCGAACCCACGACCTTCGGCCGCTGCTCTACCACTTGAACTATCGTGACCCCGATCCGCTCGGGCACCAACCTCCCATCTCAATCTCACTTCTCAGATTTTCCCTCTTTTTTGCCATTTTTCAAATGTCGTGTAATCAGGTTGGATTCTTGCCGACAAATGAAATCGCCACGGAGAGCTTTAGTGAAGTATACTTCATTTTAATTCATTAAATTCGATAATTTCGTGGTCCGCTTGACCAATTAATATATTACAATTAATTAAGGTTTTTAGTTGAGATAAAAAATTCCGTGTTACGAGCGGAATTCGAACCCACGCTCTTCGGCTAGATACACCGCTGCTCTACGACTTGAACTATCGTGACTTCGATCCATTCGGACACAACTTCCCATCTCAACCCCACCTTTTGAATTTTACCTCCTTTTTGCCATATTTCAAATGTCGTGTAATCTATTTGATTCTCGGCGACAAATGACATGCCCGTGGAGTGCTTTCGGGAAGATAAACTTCATTGTAAATTATTAAATTCACTAGTTTTCGTGGTCCGCTTGGCCAATTAATATCTTTCAATTAATTAAGGTTTTTACTTGAGATAAAAATGTCAGTGTCACGAGCGGAATTCGAACCCGCATTTTATATGCCGTGGCCATTTCATTTGTCGCCGAGAATCAAATAGATCACACGACATTTGTAAAATGGCCAAAAGGAGGGAAAATTAAAAAAAAGGTGGAGTTGAGAAGGGAAGTTAGTGTCCGAGTCGATAGCTAGTAGCTCAAGTGGTAGAGTAGCGGCGTATCTAGCCAAAGGTCATGGGATCGAATCCTGCTCGTGACACTGACTTTTTTTATCTCAACTAAAAATTTAATTAATTGAAAGGTATTAATTGGTCAAGCGGACCACGAAAACTAGTGAATGAGATTATAAATTATTATATTATTATCCAAATATTCAAATTTAACACTTGCGTCATTTATAAATGTTGTAGTACATTTTAATATTATTGAAAACTTGAATATTATTATAATTGATTTTTAGCACACAAATTTACACACGTCGATAACACAAAAACATTTTTAACATAACGGGAAAACAACAACAACGATGGCATGACTATAAAAAAATTGAGGGGTGTAATTATATTTTAGCAATAAATTCGCGCACGCTTGATAAGATTTTGAGGAGATATGAGATTCCAAGAAACCGGCCAATATAAAACTTTTCTCGAATACAGCGAGACTCGATAGGAATTTTTCCTGTTTCCTTTTATTTGCCGTTCACTACAGGTTAGGGGAGAGTTGCGTAAACAGTTTTTTTATTATATAATTCAATTAATATTTAGAGTATTTCTTATTGGCTTACGTTTTCTTAGGCAGGGTTTTTTTAACAAACAAGTGAATCACATTAAGAACATATACAAAAATAGCATATTTTAATAGCAGTCAGGGGAGATTTGATATTTAATTAAAATCAAAATTTCAAAATGAAGCGTTCGGTTGATTGTCAATATTAAAGTAATCAAAAAGTGAAAAATACAGAAATAAATTAAAGCTAGCTTCCCAGAACGAACACAGCTTCATATATTATTTATTGCCATAAATATGCCCATAAAACGTTATATAATTTTCACGATTTTCACCTCACCTCAGATAAAAAATATAATTACAGTAAAATTTTAAATACTTAAAACGGTCAATTATGACTACTAAATATTCATTATATTAATATAATAATTATAGAGGTATTTACTTCGCTAACAACTATCCGTGGCCACTTCATTAGTCGCCAAGAAACGAATCCTGATATTTGAAAATATGGCACAAAGAGGTAAAATTGAGAAGGTTGTAAGGTTGGGATGAGGAACTGGTGTCCGAGTGGTTAGAGCAGCGGCGTACTGAGCCGAAGGGCGCGGGTTCGAATCCCGCTCATGACACTGTCTTTTTCAACTCAACCAAGACCTGAGATAATAAGTATAATTAATTTAAATTATACGGTTTACATTTAATAACCTAATAGTTTTTCCAAAAACTTAGTTTTCCAAAAATTTAACAGAAGAACACCCTAAGACATAGATAATATAGATATTAAGTTATATTATCCGTGCTGTGATTATTTTCAAAGTATTTAGAAATAATAAAAACCATCTAGAAAGTATTAACTTTATTCTCGTTAAAATTATTTTATTTGTACTCTAAACATATTAAAATGTGATCACTGGAGGAAAGAAGCCAGGAAAAACAAGCCAATGCTGGTACTCAGTGTGAGGGATGAAGGTAGAGTTAGGATGGATCGAGAGATTGGTGTGAAATCTTTAAGATTTTACTGAAATTTTTTCTGAATTTTTTTGTCTGTAATCCATAACGACCTCAACATACCTTTTATCGACAAACCGTTGCAGATCCTAAAAGTTTCATACGAACTTCTCGATCCCTCCTAACTCAGAGGTGAGTGACATAGTAAGGAGCTTTGACGATTTGTTCGAGGACTTTGGATTAGTAGGGGTACGCTGGATGTTAGATGGCTTGGTCCCAGTCCGTACGTCCAAAGTGATCGCAGTAAAGTTTTGTAAAGGTTAGGCCATAAGGTGATAAGGTCAAGACGGATTTCGGTCCTTCTTAGTTACCTAAGTCTTCTGTTAAGTTGTTTCTCTTAAGTCGTGTAGGGATTTGTATTTGAGTTGAATTGATATCGGTATCTCTTTGTTGTTCATATAGAGTGTCGGGCAAAACTGTTTTTTAACGTGCATTTTTTTTTCATTCAGTCCTCCACATTTTGAACTCGTCTTCGACAAGTTCAACGTGTTTTTCTATGTTGGAGGTAGCTTAGGATAGGATCCAAATTAGAGGAAAGCATTGCGGTATTGTCTGCATGGAGTGCATATGGTGATGGTACGGGGTGTGCACGAAAGTCAGTAACATAGATGATACTTCTGATTTCCGAGAACTCTTTGCCGCACCTCACTTTGAAGCAGCGGTCAGATAGATAAGATTGCAGGATAAGATAATAAGGAGTGGGTACTAAGCGTTTAAGTTTATAAAGCATGCCCGGGTGCCAGATCCTATCGGAACATCCCGGGCTAAATATCGGAACGCACCCAACCAATAAGCTTTATTCTCTACTATAACTGTTAATCTCTTTGGTCTACCTACCGTTGCTGGCATAAATCTTGTAGAGTATACTTAACACACAGAAACGGTCTTTAAATTTGAATGGGTTCTTTTATTGTGTTTGATTTGAGCCGTCAAAAACGCCAAAACTTTTTTTGTACAAATTGTTTCCAACAAATATAATTAAGAATTTTTTTAAGTTTAGTTGGCCTGCGAATCATTGGTAATGATCCGTTATTAAATCAGTGAAGATCGCCATGATG